CACACGAGCTTCGCTCCTCCCGACCGCAGACACAGGTTTACAAGCCACTTTTTCCTGCGCTTTTCAATAAATTTCTTGACTTTTCCCCACTTATGAACAACAAACATGTAGTCCACAAGACAAAATAATAAAAGTAAAAATAATAATAAAAGTAAATTTAAAGAGAGAGAGCGAGAGAGACAAAAATTACAGGTACACTGATCAGAGCCGATCGCTGGCAATGTTTTGCTTAGGGCCCCCAGAAAGATCGGCTCTGATCAGTGTACCTGTAATTTTCAAGTGCGTTTGATTGGAGTTGGAGCTGAACTCTGCAGAACGGTAGCTCTTAAAAACAATGCATAAAAAACAATATTAATAAAAAACTATTTTAACCATTAAACATTTTAGCCTATAATAGCCTACTATACAGAAATTGATGAAAGTAATCAAATGTAAAAATAAAGCACTGCATAGATTTCACCATATAAATTAAACATAAATTGATTCATAAAGTTATACAATATTCAGTGAAGAGCAGTGAATAATTCTCTCATTTTCTTTTGTTGTTTGATTAACAGATGATGACAGACAGCAGCAGGTTTATACAGTAGGATGCGGTCACAGAATGCTGACTAGCATTCGATTACTTTTCACAGTTTATTTTCACTAAAGACATAACTGACCGTGCTTAGTGAAAACTCACCAAGACGGACATTTTTCCATATACAAAGTGCAAAGTAGCCTATATTTGTCTGTGTTTCAGTCTCAATTTGCACACACGGAAAGCGCTTGGGGAACAGCGTTTCTTGCAGTGTAAATTTAACTAGTTTCTTTTTGTATTGAGCAAGAACAGCAGGAGACTGTATATGACTGAATTTGACTGATTTGAAAGTTACATAGAAAGGGCGACAGCACACCGCATTAAGGAAAGGAACATTCATGTTTTCATAATCACTGGCCAAAATAAAAAAACAAAACTGGTGTTTTGGGGGCCCTACGCAACATGCGTACTTTGCATATAGGGAGGATTGCCTCTGACACTGATGCTGTTCTCTTTATTTGAACAATTCATTTTGATTCAATAACATTGCATCAGATTTCTTGTTCAAACATGACTGCATCATGTTAAATTGACTTGAAATTGTTCCTTTTTGGCTTAACTCAATGTTTTTATTTTAAAAGAGCATGTTTCAATCAAGTAGCTCAAAATCAGTTTTATACTTCCCATCATTTGCACAGGGCTGGATATGGGGAGGGAAAATGCTGAAATAAAGTGCTTTTATGCATTATGCATTTTTAGCAAGATGAGAAAATAGGGAGACTTGTGAAAAGTCTATTATGTTGGTATTTTAAAACGCTTTCTGTTCTGTTGTTCTGTTTCTGTGTTTTTGGGCGAGTTACCATTGTGGTGAAGTGTGGAGTGTGTGCTTGGGTTGAGGACCTGCTAAATAGAATTCAACTCCAATGGGAGTTCTAGGGATGTAAACAGTGTCATCTTTAGACTGCCGAAATCTAACATGCGTGTAAATAAGTTGTATTTAACTTGCTAGTATGTCATCATAACAACTTGCACGGAAAGTGGTTCTACACAATGGAATCTCTACACAAATACTGAACTAAAATTAGACAATTCCAAATAACTTGGTTCAATCGTGTCCAAATAACTGATTCAATCATGTGGAACCACTGTCCATGATTGAATCATTTTCAACCAAAGAGTTATTTTTTTTGAGTGTAGGTGTGTTGGAGCAAGTTTGGAACTGAAGCCTGCAGGATGTTTGCCCACTTTTCCCAATGGTACGTTTAAAAAAAATTTACTTATGTATATAACTTAATTTTTTATATACTTTATAAATTTTATAACTTAAAATTTTTTTGTATTGGCTTTTATTTCTGATGTTATTTCACTCTTAATTTCCCATCAGCTCCTTCTGGACTAGGACACCCGAACATTTGTCACAAACATATCCAAGGCTAATCTCATCATTCTTGTTTGTATAAAGAGAGAAAAACCTGAAATGGTAGGTGCCATCTCGCTGCCCAAAGCCACTGCCAGGAACCAAACAGATGCCTGTTTCTTCCAGAAGCTTCATACAGTAGAACATATCCGGAACTTGTGCCTTCTCCTAAAATTGGAGTGGATGGGAGATTTTGGTTAGAGTTTTATGATGCTGTTCAAGTCAACCAAGTGAAATATAATATATGACAGCTGTGTAAATTGTGTTCCTATTGTGTTCGTAATTACACTTTTCGCTGCAGACGTCACACATGTCTATAGAAGTTTTATGATGCTGTTCAAGTCAACCAAGTGAAATATAATATATGACAGCTGTGTAAATGTGTTCCTATTGTGTTCGTAATGACACTTTTCGCTGCAGACGTCACACATGTCTATAGAGACATGCTCGTAAACTAACTACAAATTCAAGATCAAATCCTTAGGTGACAGAGAAAGTGTGTATCAAGTGTAGTAGTAAAACCAATCCTGCAACTAAAACCAATCCTGCAATTCTTACTTTGTTTACTTTGTGATTCAAAGACAGCCTTTTTGGTTCAAGGGCATGTTATATTCTTGATTCCTAAATCATTCATTATTATTCTGAAATTATTCACTTACATGTACAGAACAACATAATCTTCTAGAGCAAATAAAGGCCAAAATCTAAATTCTGCTGCTTTAATAACTAACAAATACAAAGGCCTATAATCAGAGAATATTAACAACAATATCTTATAAAATATTTGAGACAATATTTGAGAAAAAGAAACACCCACTGCTTTTGGCTGTAAACTATTATTCGGCCATTTCTAGGTTCATAAAGGATCTGTGACAGCTCTTAAACTTTGCGTGCACTGAAGAACTAGTAGGAGTGAAGGATTTCCACTTTAATTTTAGGGGTAGTCAATTGTTAGGGCTAGGGTTGCACATGTCCCAGTAAATTATGGTAACTCAGTGGAATATGCCCTATGAATCCCAATCAAGTCACTTCAAAGGGCAGTTAAGGTGCAGTCACATTAGCACATTTAGCACAATAGCAAATGTCTGTTGTCAATAGTGTAGCAATGTATGCACAGCTCACACAGAAATCACTTTCAAACCAAGCAGCTGTCTGTTAGAAATCAGATAGGTATCTGATCAGTAAAAATGCATGAAGTGACAAGTGAACAATTGTTAGGTTTTACTGATCACAAGTTCATCCTACCTTGGCCTCCAGGATGGCTTTCGGTGGGAGGTGGATACGTGGGAAAGTGTACATTGCACCCTGCACTGGGTTACATTTTATTCCTGGGACCTGATTCAAGATTTCTTGCGTCATGCTGGCCTTCTCTGCCAGTGTGGCCAAAGTGTCTGTGCGTTCCTGAAGACAATGGAGAAAAGGTTTGATTACTTTCTTGTTGGCTAGAGAAATTTGTCAACCTGTACACTCTAAAATTTTAAAGTATGATGTACTTAATTTTTTTTCTTTTCCTTGGGGCCGGGGGGAGGGGATGAAACAAGTATAGACTTAAAAATATTGAGTAAATTTTATAGTTGTGAAACCTCTTGGTCTGTCCTTGACACAGAATAACAAAATAACACTCAATTTCAACATTTACTCTCCCTGTACAATCAGCATCAAAGCATGCTGGGAAAAAGAAATGTTCCCTCTCTTTGCACAAGATTGTTAATTGTTTCTAACTCAATTTCTTTAAGTTGTTGTTAAAGATGCAAGAATATTAATATGGAGTAATAACTGTAGTTCAACACTCAACAAAAATATTGAGTATATCTTAAAAATAGAATTTCTTGGTCAAATACTAATTTCTTTTAGTGAAAAAAATATATCTAAATTTTAGACTAAATTAACTGTTGGATTTGTAAGCATTTATTTTGGTATGTTAGAATAAAAAAAGAACTTAAGTGATATTCAGAGATATTATTATAGCTATTTATTAATATGTTATTTACAAATCCACCGGGTTATTTTTTTAGAGTGTACAAAGGAAACAGTCAATGGGACAATATAGACCTTAATGAATGTGTCATATGAGGGTTCATCTGGTTGGGGTGGATTGACCACAACATCTAGAAGAGCCTGCCCAGGCACTGGAGGACACAGCCGCACAGATACCAGCTTAGTGAGTTGAACTTTCACCTCAGGGTCTAGATTTACCACCTCCATATAACCACCACGAAAACCACACCTTAAAGAAGCAAGACAGACAGGTTTAGAGCTTAACTATTTACTTGATATATTTTAGAACACTAATATTTGGTCAAAACGAATAATTTCTTTCACAGTATTTGTATACTGTATGCTTTTCCCACATCATCTCATAACCTTCATTTCAAACCATGGAGGAACAATATAGGACATTTTCTTTAAATCGACTACAAATGTGTTTGTAACTGGTGAAAGCAGTATGTGATGATTGTGCTCAAACGTGCTTGCGTGAAATGCAAGTTCAAACCTCACTGGTTCAGGAGCTTAAAGCAAGTGTGTTTGATGCTGTGTTTACCATATTCGATGAGCTCTCTGTATGTGTGTTGATCAATTTTTATATGTGAATAAAAGCCAAAATTCATGTTTTCATCATATAAAGCAATCATGTCTTTTCAGAGGTCTTGAAACTTTTGAATTGTCAAACTTTAATGCAATGGGCTTTCAGTGGAGGGACAGAAATCTCTCAGGTTTTATTCAAAAATATCTTAAATTGTGTTTCCAAGAAAGAGTTATGGATTCAAAATGACACGAGGTGAGTAAACGATGTTAGAATTGTGATTTTTAGGTGAACTAAACCTTTAAAAACAAGAAATTGTTAGGAAGAAATTCTATAATATTCCCTATGGAATCATTCTCCCAAATCACCTAAAGGTCAACTGCTCTTCTCTTTGTTTTGGATACTCACTCTCCCATGTAGCACTTTGACGTTGAGTGAAACGAAGCTAGTTCCACTTTCTCAGAGTATTCCAGACCCATTTCAAACAGCACCTTCTTAAAGGAGTGAAATTTACACCCGTCCGCGTAAACATTGTCCTGATAGACCTGGATAAAACAGGGCGTGTTGAAAATATTATTCATGTGTGTTTTTATGTATTTATTTAGAAAAAATGTATAAGCCTATCATACAAATCACCTCATCAGCCATGAGGAAAAGCTTTTCTGCTGCAGCAAATCGGATCACGTCCTCAATGCACTGCCGGCTTTGCACTTGACCTGTCAGGTAAAGACAAACAGTGTTGCCATATTAGTTTGATGTTTTCTAGCCCAGTGATTGTTCATGATTGTTCCTGTCTTCACAACTGCAACAACAATTTCATGCAAATAAAAGTTTGGATAATTGATAAATCCTTAATAAATACTACTACAGGGTTCTGTAGGTTTTATGAAGGTAAATTTAAGACTTTTTTAAAAACGTTTTTTTTTTAAAACCTTTTTAAGACTAAGTAATCGAAATTGAAAGAACAATTGAAAGGAACTCAATACTGTATGTGAAAGTCTAGCAAGTTTTATGAAGGTAAATTTAAGACTTTTTTAAAAACGTTTTTTTTTTTAAACCTTTTTAAGACTAAGTAATCGAAATTGAAAGAACAATTGAAAGGAACTCAATACTGTATGTGAAAGTCTAGCAAGCGGGCAATGAGTTGTATTAGCAACTTCCAACAGATCTCTATTACGTTTTAATTCATTTTACATAAAAAAATAGATTAAGACTTGAATATCCTGAATAACCACTAGAATACGGAAATAACCTTTACATAGATAAGAAGACATCAAATAAAAAGTCTTGTTTTCTGAGAAACAATTAAGTGAGTTTAAGATTAAAACAACAACGTCAATGTGGTCAGAAAAAAATTCAAAAGAATACTAGTTTGCATACACCACTGACAGATATGTGTTCTTGCTTTAAGCATAAACTTATTTAATGTTGTTAAATTCCAAAGAAAGCCAGACTTATTCTTATTTTGTAAATGTAGAAGTAAATGTATCTTAATTTTTATATAAAATTTTATTTATTTATTTTATTTTATTTTTGCAGTGCATGCAACATTTCATGCCATAGCTTTATGTATTTAAGACTTTCTGCTCTGATTTTGGGAATCACAAACTGACCACCATAAAAAAAAGCTGATAGATTTGTCATCAAACCTGTAGGGTTTCCCGGATTGATAATGCACAGTGCTCGAGGGCTGCAGTGCTTCTTTGCTTCTTGCAGGGCGTGTCGTAACTCACTGATGTCCAAACTCCAGCAGTTGTCTTCATCCAGATAATAACTGATTTGTACAGCACCCAAATCAGCCAGAGCAGCGGAGTACAGTGGATACTGAGGGATGGAAATCATCACTCCCGTACGAGACATTCCTTCTCCTGATACCAGCAATTTAAGCATGGTCTGACACATGGACAAAGACAGATCGTTAAAAGTATTTCTGATATTTCATTCTCTAACACACTGACATTTAGTGAAAATATTTAAACATAAAGAGTGTCTATAGTATCCAGGAGCTCATGAATAAAACTTTGCGTAGATTTTATCCTAATAGCATATGTAAAAAAAAAAAAGAAAAAAGAAGCTTTTCCACACACACTCAAGTTTTCATGCAGCCATTTATACAAGAGAATCAATGCAAAATTCACTTTTATTTTTATTAAATTCACTTTTATTAAATTACTGTTAGCAGAAGTGCGAACACATATTGCTTTATTCTGCACTCAATATACTTCACGAAATAACCATACATACAGAGCTGTTTTAAATACCATGACCTCATATAGACTTGATCGGTGTCGCGTCATAGCTGTGTGGGCGGAGTCGGCGTGGGGGAAAACAGTCCTTTCCCCCTCATTGGAAAAGCATGGTGTTGACTCACAATGGCCTACATAAAATAATTTCTGCCGCTCGACAGAGCAACATACTAAGCCGTATTGGGTCGGACTGTCCATACGGTATCTGTGACTGGACAAACAACCCAACGGAATGGCCAGAGGTGTCGTTTCCCGACATTTTTTGTTACCTAATTGAGTCTATAGGCAAGAGGCAGCTTACTACAAGCATATACTTGACGGCTTGTGAAAGTAAACATTTGTCGTTTTGTTTTGCTTCATTTTAATAAAGTGATAAAGACTCGAGTAAAAGCCTGTCGTACTTTTTTATTGATATATAAAACATTTTTTTTAACATTGACAAAACAGGTAACATTAAGGTCCACTGAA